TCCGGCTGGATTAAAAAACTCGTTGAAACTTCTTTATTACACCTAGTAATAGTACACAGTCATGCGGGTGAGGGATGACCCCCCACACACCCCCTATCCCTATTTAATATTAACATATAACGTACTAACTTATCTACAATCTCGATGATTTACGCAACGGTGATAGAATGAGTAATTACCATCCCAGTTCACCTAAAATGTCAAGAGGGTTATGACTCGAAACATTCGSCCAAAATTATCAAAATCATCATCTATTAATTTGACAAATATGATGGGTCTGTTTTGAAAGAGTTTCTTATTTACTGTGTCAATATTTTATGGAGGAAGCTTTGTGTGTTGATAAATAAAAGAATAATGAGCCAATTTGGCGATTTGATAATCCGGTGAAATGGTCTGTGTTGATGTTGAATAGCGGGCGCGGTGTTGAGATTCATGGTTGTAATTAATTTGTTGTGAGAGTTGTCGCTGGCCCTTTCAGATGGGTGTTAATATTCTACAGGTGTCTTGCATGGACGTGTCCGTTCGAAGGGTAACACGTTACTACACCTGTTTTGTTCTGTACAAACAGTAATCTGTTGCCGATAATGCATTGGGTTTGCATCCAGTTCGAAATTCAATTGTTCCCATTGTGTGAATGTGTGGCACCCTCTCAATTTTCTGATCACTCTGAATTGACAAGTGGACAGCAAAAATATTTASGAGACCGCAGACCTGACGGGTCTTTTGAAAATAAATCTCCTTTTTCACTGAATTGAAGAAATCTGTTGGCAATTAATTGAAAATTGACGTGGAGGAAATTAAACAATAAAGTAATTGTTCAATCATTTGTGCCAGCTAGCATGAATAAATCAATCTCTAAATGTGGTTCGAATTGAATCACTTCTTGAATTAATCAAATCGAACGACACATTACTCCAATTACACGAAAACTCAATTAATCATTAGGTCTCATCTCGAAAAGGGCTACTTTTCTAATCAATAACAGTAATCTCCGGAGGTAATTTAGCAGCATCACACATGGATAACTCCAACTCGGGTCACAACGCGTCCTCTTTTGCACCAATAGTGTCCTGAGTGACAACTAGTACAGGAGTTAAATGAAATGTCACTCAAGATGGCGTGCGGTCGCCACCCCAAACGCCCAATCCGTGTTCCTCGTTACACTTTAATAATAAATCAATGGGACAAATCTTCCTCACCAACTGGCCAGACTGGAACAATTCAAATTACCAACTAAGCCRAACAATATATCCCTGAGAAAAACTCCAATACATGGTTCCGATTCTATTTAATCTATTCATAGTCACGGATCAGGGAAAAATTACAAAAACCGTACGTTTAATTAGGTTCGTTCTTGTTCTCCCAACTCAATTATTCAAAATGGTTAAAAAGTTCACAGATGACACCAAAACATGCCCTTGCATAATTTCTCTCCTTCAACAAGTTTTTCTATTATGGTTAAACYTTRCCCTGAATAATAAAGATGCGTGCACAAAATTGATCAAATGCCACAAACTTTGTTTCTGTTATTGATGAACATACATCGCATAAAAAACACAATGTATCATGTGTGTTTTCAAACGGAAAATTCGCTCCCAACGTAGACGATTTATTCCTTGGATGCATCCTAATAATATATTTTCAGTACTGGTGTGGACTATAATCCCAGTAATTGCAGGAGAAATTTTTGACAAAATCTTAAAGTAACAGCCCTTCACCGTTATGGGTCAATGGTACTACAAACTATATCCATGTCAAAACTTATAATCTATTATTCCACTAGTCGACAGCTWAACACAGCACCTGTGAAAACCGGTTTAAACGCAAGTCGTAGTTTGATACGATTTTTAACTTCGTGAGCAGGTAAACTCTCCTTCCTAAATTATCTGTTTTTACGACRCTGTGCTAATGTTGACATTTGAAAGCTTGGATTAAAAAAGTGATATTTTTGCAACTGGTTCCTTGTATCAATTCTCGGTCAAGTATTTGATATTCTAGCAACCGCTGTTGAATGTGATCCTTTAATAAAAGAGTCAACTAGTCTTTCAGAATATCAATTATTGAGGCGATGATCGTGAATTACAATTGCGCTACCTTCTCACAAAATAATCTTGTGTGGTGTTGGTTAGTAATGTCAAGCGAATATGATGAAAGAAGAGTTTAGTCACGGGGATGGAGTAGATCAAGATTTTAATGTATAGTGAAGTCGAGAGAATGGAAAGCTGTATTGCCGGCAATATTTCATTCGTACATCCGACGGGTGACCGAAGAACGTACAAGAAGATTGATAACTGAGTGAATTCTATCAAAAACATTAACCAGTATACTCCGGTCACGATTGCATATAGTCGACACAATTTGCTACGTGTGCAAATAGATGACAGCATAATCCATCATTGCTGTCCGGTTTCACCCCATTCCAAAGTCTATATGGCTCATCACAACAAGTTCTCGTTGTTACTTCGGCTTCCATACATTCCTCCCTTTATCACACAATCATTTTTGATGAAGCTCCAAGTTGCGCAGTTTTAATTAAAGAATCTACCACGAGGCGAACTTTAAAGCAATTTGTTTTATCGATGTTTTTGTCAACCGGGCAGAATAGCTCATCAAAATAATTGTTGGAAAAAACTGCAAATGAAACGCGTTGAATAATTCGYAGCAATTTYGGCGGAATCGCAGAGTGACATATTAGGGCATTTTTGTTGCAATGGAGCTCATACCTAGCTGCCTGCGTACGATCGTTCAGTAAATTGCTATTCATGATTGGCATGTATTTGATGATAGACGTATTTGATTAGGGCGGACCTAATGATACGTACAATTTCCTCGCATGCAATGTATATACATTCATATAATGTCACATGAGCCAGATTACTGTATTCACTCCCAGACATGTGGACCCCTAACAAATAGCATTTGATGAGAGGCGATATGTTTTCATTTCTGGTTATAGTCTATGCAAATTCTCATAAAAAACCAACAATTTTCTCTTGTTCTATGTTTACGCCGAGGGCACGCCAAAATTATACTATATTACCGCACTTAAAAACCTATTTATAACGCAACAGCTATACTTACAAACCTTACCGCAAATATTTGAACGAATTTCTTTCCAACTTTTTTTACGATCGAACAAACACTTCCACTGGCATAAATGATTCGGAAACACTCAGTTTCCATCAAACGTAATTTGCGTAATGACCAACTTGGTCTCAAAGGCGTTGAACAGCATGTGTTTCTTAATATCAAATTTCTCACGCTTCCATAATAAGAACATGCAATCTCAAAATTATACCTACCTCAAATTGAATTATAATACTTTGATGATTCTTTATTTATTTATCAGGGCAACAGGTTTATAAGACAACGAATCTCAATTGTGTTCAATTGATAATGATATCACAAGCTCAAACACGAAAAGGCGTTCAAATGTGTCGTAAATGAATTACCGTTGAATATTTCATAGTTTCACCTAGCAGCAAATGGGAGGAAGCGGGTGCTCGAATTAGTTCCGTGTAGATCGTAGATAGGTTAATGCTGTTAGTATGGGTTGTTTTAATCGCCAATAAAATCTCATAATGACTAACATTGATCAAATTACCAAAAAAATCGTTTCGTTTTGAGYGTAGGTATTAAGTATTTTGTGTTATTATGTCTGAGAGATCGAATCTAGCCCCGGTGTGAACCGGCAAATGGTGCAGGTATACTACTCATAGTTTCATACAATATCATTATAAGCACATCATAAACTTGCTGATCACCGATTTACTGATATCAAACAATTTCCAATGTGACGGATTGGTTTCAACAGAAAATTTCCCAGTGGAATTGCATTCCATTTGGTGCGGCCTGAATTTATCAAAGAGATACATTGATCGGTTGCGTTTAGGCTCGATTAATCTTTTTCACTATTCTATTTATGCGGAATATTTGTAAATGTCATCAGTAATATTATTTCAGGTGCCATTTATCAATTATATGATTATATCGCTTTTTCATCATTAATTATTGAGATTAAATCTATTTACATGCTTGCYTACAAAGCCCACTGAAAAATCTCTCTCATCTTTCATGCAGCATTAAACTATTTATTAATAATTACTCACCACTGATAATGTATAGTTTCAAAAACACATAACGCTTCCATTTTTACGATATTATAACTACCTGTTTCGCCGCGAGTGATGATGCTAAATGGAGAAAATATTCCGCTCTTACATAAGAAACCATTTTCACCACAAGAAGCTGCTTTCATCATTAAAACAAAACCACCAATAGTGCCATATGTCACCTCTTCTTAATTAACTGATATCGGAAGTGCTTTAATTCGATTTCCTGTCATTATTTGTCAAAATCACCCCTTGTTTCCACCACTTCAAATTGTCTTGCCAGCAATAATAGTAATGATGAATGTTATAAACTTATAAATAACAACAATGAAGAAAAAGAATATGATAACGATATACATGTATCAAATTCGGTRATAATGAAATTTTGTTACATGTTATAAAACCTCTTTCATCACGCCAGTATTCAAGAGTAACGTTTATACGGGTAAGCTCATTTTTTATTTGYAACATAATTATCACAACCTGCTTTGTAAGTGAGTGTAGTCAACGAGAGTTCCCCTCGTCTTTAGCCCTTATAAGGGTCAGCTCAGGTTAGACCAACAGTTCCTCCAAGATCATCCCATGCAGGTGTGAATGAATCATCAAAGGATTGCACAGGTGTTAATGACTCATTATCAATAAATTTGTTAATAGTTGGAAAATCAAAGATAGGGGTCACGTGGAGGTAATATTTTACTCAGTTACTGAGGCATATAAGTGAACCTAGATATTAAAATTGCATGTAATGAGACAAGCTATGAATAAAAAAGTATATCATCAAGTTGTTCCACTTGTTCGACTTGTTTTAGTTTTCGCGGATGAGTTAACGTTTTCCATTTCTATCAGTAACAAGTACCAGTAACCGGTAAGAGGCATTTCACTTTCGTTTGTTCGTCGATTGGATGTGTAGAAAGACGGAAATGAATTTAAAACTTTTACGTTATTCATAGAGTGAATATTTAATCTGTGCTAACTCATGGCCATGGTAGTTGCGTTATAAGATTTGGGTTTTTACTTTCACTATCAACAACCGCTACCTATTGTAGGAGCGGGGTAACCTGAAATTGCAAGGTAAGCGAGAGTATCTCCACTTCAGTCTCACAATGCTTTATTAAAGCATTGTTTGTCCCTTTAATTAGTTAGCAACATGGTCACTGCTGGAAAAATTGTGATAAGGATTGTGTTTGTGGTCTGTGTTGTATTAGTGCTTATCACCGATTATTCGGGACTTATACACAAATTAATCGGCGGAAATAGAACTGATGAAACTGGAAAAGTGCCACCAAGACCCAAAAATCCCGGATATGGGGATCCCAAGACTGATATCGATATCGACGCAGATATCGAAGATGATTCCATCAAACATTTAGGTAAAATTTTAAAACAAAATTGACTCCAACGCTCTATTTTTTAAAAGAACCAACTTTGTACCTAGTCTACCTTGAAATCTTTGACATCTTGCCTTGAACACAGTGGAACGCTAAATCCTTTTACTCAACATTTTCATCAACTCGAACTAAAATTACTCATTAAAAACATATTACTGGAACTGGAACTAATTAAAAAAACATCAAATYTTAATAATAAAAGTAGAAGTGTTTTAAAAATGACAATTTTTAAGGTACAACGTCCCTAAAATCGGAACTTTTACAAACAATAAAGAATGCGTGTTTGCCGAAACTGATATGTGAACTAAATGCAACGCCACAGAAAGATAAGCTGACCGAGTCCGAAAAGTCTCTGCTAACTCTTCTTAGGTAAGAAATTGAAACCCTCTTGATGACATTATATTGAAAGCTATTACGGAAGCGCACATAACATTTACTTTCACTCTGTTGTAATAATAAACTTCGGTAATATAATTGCCGATTTCGCCATCACCATTGTCCCAGACTCAACCTCTTACCATGTCGCTCTTCAAATGACTAATATTCAGTCATGACACGTGTCAAATGCCCAAATTGTATAATAAAGTTTTCTGTTTTAGGGACACTTCAATAAGTACAACCGCTGAGTTGACGTCGAAATATCATTTTGCCGCACATATGGGTCAACTAATTGCAGGAGTTGAGGGAAATGGCTGCCATAATTTTTATCCGACATGTCCTTTTCCGGGTCTTCAAGTACTCCAAATGATGAAAAAAGTCAGGATGCGGTAGAAGAATTTTATCGGATGACATTTCGCTTGATTTCGTTCTACTAATTGAACTCAGAGCTCGGTCTATGCCAGCTTTCACAAAAAATCATCACAAACATTTCACTCGACAAATGAAAACGGAATTAATTTATTTCATGGGAAGATCATCAATTTAAGGCGTGACATGTTACCTACCATCAAAGTTTATAACTTTGATGAAACAATAAAATGACAAATAATATGTAATTGATTAGGTATATTATCCTTGCTCTAGTAAATCTAGCATAGAATATATGTATTTATATTGAGAAACTAGTCTACAAARAATTCAAGTATTGTTAGTTAGTATAGGAGGATAATTTGTAACCAAATTGTCTATTTTACAAAATGGGCAATGTGATATTAGTGCTGGGCAAATTGCAAATATTTGAATAAATTTAATATTTTAGGTATTAACGAAATTAGTCTTTATACAAATTACCCGTCTTGTAGTTTACTTTACATACTATTAGATATAAAAATAATAAAACACGAATATAAGTGCCAAAATCTTATAATACGAAAAAAATACTTTATATCTTAAATTCATCTTTAATTTTATTTTTATAGAACTATATTGTACCATAAGATTTTTATATCTCAATAATATTTAAAAAGACTTTAAAATAAAAATACCTCAACATTTGTAATTTAAGATATAAGTGAAAGTTTTTCGTTAGTTGTAATTTTAATCATCACATAAGGTTTATATTTGACTTTGCAATTATTGTTGTTAAGACTGTTTTTCCTATTAAAGACATGTATGTATTATCTAATTTTACTTGTAAATTAAGACATGAAGTACGTAGTTTATTTTTACATTGTGATATTTTCTGTTTTAGTTTATGTTTTTGTAATATTGTAACTGTGTACTTTTTAATACATAATTTACTTTAAGTATGATTTTGTTCGTTATTAAAATGTTGGTCTATAAATATTTCTTAAAAACTCGAATTCCYAACTACTGTCTAAAATATACAGTGGACATATAATGGAACGTCAAGTCTTTTGAAAAATTATTACTAAAACAAAAAAACGGAGGTATAAAATTTGCATGTTGGTCGTAAATAAAAGCCATAACCATTAAGTTGTAAAGCAATTTCAAAACATCTCTATCCAGTCAACTAACTCACCAGTAGTTACATGATGATTAATGTTTAGGCCCTTTTAACGACGATAATTAAAAAAATAATAACCATGCAGTTTTATTTCCTCTCTTATTTGTTAATTGATGACAAATCAAACAGTTTCATAAAATTTCAAATAAACATTGCAGTAAACACAAAATCCAGTTAATAATTTAACTACAAGTCATTCTTTTAAAATTCGAGATACGTGGGCTATAAAATTTGGTATTTTAAATAGTGTTGACCTTTTGAAAGCCGCCCCTTTGTAGCGTAATTAAAATTCGGTTTGAAGACAACATTTCTTATTTAATGGGGTTGTGGAAGCACGTAAAGCTTTGTGTAATTTGTGTTGAGTTTGAAATTATCAATAAAGGGTTGTGGAATATTTTATCTAGGAATAAACTGTCTAATCGTTGGTAATTCGCGATCGTAATGTCGAATCGTGTTTGAACCTCGTTGTGTATGCGCGTTTTAGTGTCCTTTGTTGCACAATCAAGTTTAGTCAGGACATAAAATTCTTTCTTTACATGTTGCTACGAACGCCTCTTGACACACGGACAATTTAACTTTCGTCTTTGTACAAATTACTAGACTTGAGGATATATTTCTTTCTCGAAATAACTACTGTTAGCACGTTAAAGAATAAAATGCGTCCAAACGTTAGTATATGGGCTCAAATAGTAGGGTACTTTATAAATATAACGTAATGAATTATGTCTGAAATATGCCTTACGGTTTATTGCAGCCATCGTAACTTGTAAATGCTTTTATAGCCTTTACTCCTTGTTTAGCGACATAAACATTGTACTTTTTGTTTCCTAAGTACTCCTTCCTTATCATCATGATGAGAATTCTTCTATAGTTGTTTTTTTCTTATTGTACTTCTCTATGCGCAATGCTCCCTCCAAAAGGGTTTTTCTTTTTATACTTAAAACTTTACAACTGTGTTTATCTCCATAATTAGCTGTCAATACGTTTATTCTCAATTTATGCAACATATAACAAGAGGTTTTTGTTTCCTCCTCGTAAACTCTCTACTTTATATTAACTCAACTTAGTTAATGCTAATACGTGGGCTTATTATATTGCCAATAAGTATACCATCCTAATAGAATTCTGTCGCAATATACCAAAATAATTAATATTTGTTGTCACGCAACACAAATTTGAAATTTTACTTCTTTCCTCACACAATTGGTAAGTATATATCTGGTTGCCAGTAGCTGGGTCATGTTGAAACAACTTGCACAGCTTGCTTATATAGAACATCCAGTAAAAGTAAGCGAAAGCATTGTTTTAAATTCAAATTCCGCGCCATGAGTCACGTTTCGTTATAGAAATATATTTTACTTTCGATTTCGAGGACTCTCTTTAGGAATATTAACGGTGTCTACGTGCTAAATGCTGTTAAACTCGAGGAGTGGTGGCCACTTTCACTCATACACCTCTAGTCAGCAGCTGTTTCAAGTCCATTACTAGTTCTGTGTTATTTGGCCACAAACAAGATGAAAACAATACCTCTAGTTTTTTTTACGTATGTATCCATTTATATGGCACTTTTAATATTAGAAGGAGCCACCCCCGTTGCTGCACAAGAACCCTCTATTGAACTACCTGTAGAACTTATCGGATTCCCAGTGATTATTATAGCAGTTAGATTATCTAATTTTGTGAAGAAGCTCGCATATTCACTAAACCCGAGTAAGTACTAATACCAAAACTTGAAAATTTTGCACCACTGCACAAGATACCAATTATCATAGTTATTTATTAGTAATGCTTTCTGCTTTTGTTTAATGACGACCTTTTGAAAAAATATTTCATGCCAAAAGACGTCTACTCTTGGTATTCAAACTTTTTGCCACCTTGGGTCCAGGTTTGTTAATACCTATCTATTGCACATTTTATATAAATTTTGTAATTTATGAGGTAATGTGAATGTAATCAATAATCACATTGCAAAAATACTGAAACAATTAACCACGTGTATATCGCAATCAACGAAATTAAAACAGGTTCAAGTAAAGTTATTTATGTCTTGGAACTTTCCTGCTAACTACATCTCTGATACTTTCACAATAATAACGTTATTTCTATTATTTTATGGTGAGGCTGTAAAGAAATGACTGGGAATTGCGTTACAATAACTCTATCAAAAATTAACTTTTCCTCAGGAACGTATACAGGTCGTGTTCGAAGAGCAGCAATAGCGTCTTCCGATGAAATGATCGACATGATCGAAGCCGAGAAAAGATTAGTTTTAGAACTTGGCGAAAATGTCTGCATTTACACGAAAGTTTGTTTACATCACGCAGAGAAGGCAAGTAAGACTAAAGGAAGGCGAGAAATGGTCGTAGATTGGGACGAGATTTTCAGGTAAATAAATAGAAGCGAGTAAGGTTTCATTTCATTTTCTCGAGGAAAACAATTTCCTTGTTTGAAGGGGTTTTTATCTGCGTTTCTTGGTTTTCTCTTACATCATAAATTACGAAATGATAAACAGACTAACTATTCAATTGTCGAAAAATTATCTTAATATCAGTATTATGCAAATATTGCAGTGGAGAGATGTCCGCGAAGAAAAACGTATCTCTCTTTCGCATCGATTTTCTTTGTTCCTTCTCAAACATTAGCGTCATAAATTATGTTTTAGAGTTACGATAGCGGTATTAATGAGCATTTTTTTCATAACGAAGCACTTTGCATCTTCAATGAAACTTTTCATTTGCCAGACGTTAGTCATAATTGAAGTTTACTAAATTACCATTTATCAATAAGTGTCCTAGTTTTTTTCCTAAGCCGGAGCTATGTTAATGGAGCCTTTCATAACGTTACTATTAAGAAATTTTGATATTGCAAATTATCTATTGTAATAAGCAAGTTAATGTGTTATTAATTTAAATTTTCAGTAACTACAAATCGACCAAAGAAAAACAGAAAGAGTTCTACCTGTTGAGTGTATTTCTGGGAGATTTTATTGCCTCGCCACGATTTTGCAATCAATTAGCCAAAAGGGGGCGTGCTTGCGTTGACTGATCATTTGTAAAAACTTCACTGTTTATTATTAATAAGAAAAAAAAAATTGTTGTATCTAATATTTTATTTAAGATGTGTAATTTATTCATTATAGTGACCTCATTAGTAAACACTTTTTTACAAAACGTTCATTTTGTTAATAAAATTATTTTTAAAATACCAACTGCAGCCCTTTTCTTGTGTATGGTTTTACATAAAGGATGCATTTAAGTGCACCCTTTTACATACAAAAGTATGTAATACACCCTTGCCTCTTACTCTTATTTACGTGAATCTTGAAGTACTAGGGAGGAAAATAGGTCAGGGGTGTATACATCGTAATTTACCTTCGCCATCTTTTGACCTAATTGCAGAAAAATCTGATTTCATCTCTATAAATAAACGGGAAAAAGTCTAACGATACGTGGGACTTACTTATGGCAAGTCAAAACACCTACAAAACTTTCTTCTGAGTGAAATTTTATAAGTAAGTCGATCCTTGGCGATATTCTCATCAGTAGCGATTCGCAAATGAAAACAGAACAATGGTGACCAAAGTACTAGTGCTAGTGGTTGTGTTACAAATACAAACTTGTATTACAATCAAAAATAATTTGAATAAAACCAGCGAAATACTCTTGTAAGTATTGACCAAACTCGGGGAAAAAATCGAAAAAATTATTTTTAGCAACTTGGCGAATTATGCCATCGAAAGTCGTCAAATTCGCAATCCGTGTCTTTACGAACGCGACGAATCGAAATATTACACTTGTGTCAAAAAACTAAGACTGCGCCAGTACGGCCATCTTCCATACCCTTCAAACTACGCTCAAAATTTCAACTATCATCCCCAAAAAGCCTACCCCAGTTTCATCCCGTACCCCCCTCGCCCACACCAAGACCAACAAAGCATCATGGATGTGCTGTTTACAATAGCAAAAAATGACGCACTTCGCTGCGTCCCGAGATTACTTTGCGAAGTTACTTCAGATACGATATCCAAAAGTCGGCAAGGTTTCGCTTTACCGACTTTACCATTAAATATTGATATGGGATCAATAATTAGGTGAGTCAACAACTTTCTATTAGAATTTCCATTTGACATTTGTTTTCCCAGATTGTTGGCAACTATAGACATTCCAGGTGGTTCACCGATTCCGGTTTTTGCCAAAGCCGCACTTTTGGGTTATGTCTCAAAAGGAAATTCAGATTCTTGTTTAGATGCCTACCCTCAGTGCCCACGTGATCCGAACAAACTGGTTCACTATTTGAATAATTATAATGGAGGTTTCTTCAGGTTTTTTAAAGGAGTAGACACGCGACCGGGTCAAGTGATAAATTACCCTCAAAATTTTCCCTTAAGGCCCTATCAGAATTCGATTGCACAGGAGCGGATACAGAATAGGCCGTTACAGTATGTTTCGAATAATTATGTTGGTAGTAGTGACCCGGTTGTCTTTTCTAATAATGATGATTTTAATGTGTATAGTCGCTTACCTAAAACTTTATCGTTCCCCAACGACGATGATAATCGTTTTAACGAATTTGCATTCAAGAAACCGAAGGAATTACCTTTTTCCATTAGTGAATATTACTCTAATGAATTGGATTTACAAAGGCCTTTACCTAATCATAGAGTAACCCCTATGATATTTCCTGACAGAACAGGAACTGGAGATTTGAGGCTGGATTTGGAGGAATTAAATGAAAATTATAAACAGTCAAATAATAACTTTGTAAGCTTTCGGCCTGTAGAATCTAATGAAGGTTCTTATTACCGTGGGGCAAAGGGTGTTTCAAGTGACGAATTCAATACTAACAAGGCTGTATTTAGTTTTCCTGTTTAATTATTTAATTTATTGTTTTATTAAATGTATTTTTGAGATTAGTGTTTTTTATTTAAAGGAAGTGCATTCAGGTGTATGATAGTCTGATTTCCTTAAAATCTGCGAAAAGAACAATGTCATAGCGACGACAAAAACTGCGGTAAGCTCCCATTCTGTTATATGGAAGCTCGGATTTGTATGGTATTAAGGGATAAACGGAAAGAGGGTTCAATTCAACGTGTTGCGATACACTTTGAAGTTCGTCACTGTCAAAGAATCTTTTGTTATCTGCAACTTATTATTACGTTCATTTAAAATCTTTACATCTCTATGCGTGACAATGAATTACAATTTGCTGCTTTTTAATTATTGAAAAACCTTTGAGTTGAAAACTTAATTATTTTCCATCGACATACTCCTTTTGATGGTTGCTGGAGTTATATCAAAGACGAAGTAATAAAGATTTTTGTGAAAAATTTGCGGTTAGCGGGGTTTGTGTTTTCCCCAGTCTATAATTTTCGTATGATACCCTGCCATGGTGTTAGACGAAAAGTAATACATGTCAGAATGTTACACCCCCATTGTATTGGGAAAACCCTTGAATTGACAGTTCATTCCACTGATAATTACCATTAATTTCACGCCTTACGCAATGTCATGACGACATGTGGTGCTACTGACACGTTCCGGGTCTCAAGTCGAATAATAAAATAAATACAATTATTATGCAATTGAGCAACTCATTCAAGCATATAAAACACACTGATTGAACTCGAACTTTATTATTTGGCAACGAAATGTGTCTAAGACCAGCAATCTCTGATTACAATCAGATTTGTGAGATTAAGTTCGGAACTGTAATCAATTGCTTAGAGTGAAGAGATTACATAGAGTAGTCGCATATCAACTCAATCCGGCATACAATGGATTATGGTCAACACAAATGGAATAAAAACAGACACACGCGTTTCAGCGTCAAGTAACAACACTCTCATTCTTCTTTTAGCAGAAAAAATACCGCATGTGGCACGTGGCGTCACACCATATGTATTAATGAACAATTATGTCTAGATAAACTGAACTTAAATCCACCCTAATCCCTTGTCGATGGCCAGAAATTGCTTAGTTAAATCAATCCGAGATAAGAAATATTGATTTACGGAACATTGTTATGGAAATGTCATATTTTCAAAGAAGAGCCATCGGTAAAGAGGCGTGATATGTCATGATATAGGCAAAAGACAAGCGAAGGCGAGGTGACGGGTACTCACTGCAAAATAACAGGCACCCTCTTAATGTCTCACACACACCCACTTGTATACTCCACCGCCTTCTTATTATTCACTTCTCTATTATCAAACTCACCCGTTTAATGTGTTGTCTTCAAGTCGCTGCAAACTTTAACAATTTCGCAGAAATGCATTCGAAATTGATACGTTATCAAGTGACATCTTTTTTATTCCATTTCCCTATATCCTTAAACTTGTCAAACGGTCAGTATTTTTTGTTCTGTTGATGGATTTTTGATGGGAGAATAAATGTTGCAAAGGCGTCAAATCCATATAGAAAATTAATTCAAAGACACCCTACAGAATACGAAAAGAAAATAAAAAGATTAAAAAGATGAGTAACTCCAAATCAAATGATTGTTCTCGCCAACAGCCCCTTTTAAGTCACGTGTCAAAAACAGATACAAGATAATGGGGGATTGAGCAGAGTGCATGAAACAATCAAACGTTGTTTGCTTCATGTATTARATTTTTTCACCAATGTTTGTGGGTGATAATTTAGAATATGATTGACGTAAAAAAACTGTAATGTGTGTTTAAAAGTTCACAACTAGCATTATTGCATGCTCATAGCTTGTTAGAGCAACTTTTATCTGACGTTAATAACCTTTGAAAACGGTGTATTATTTGATGCAAAATGCATCAATTTAGGCATTGGGTAAAAGCGTAAGACTCGTCGATAGAAGAATGGTTGGCGAGGCTTCGGTTAACCGTAGCTGTAATTTGAATCATGATGTTGACATTAAGCCCTACAGTAATCCGTCACAGCACAACGCCAAATACTTTTTTAACTTTACAATAGGGGAGGCGAGCGAAGTGAGATAATGTTTCGAATTGACACCGGTTTCAATTCCATTTAGATTATGCGGATCACGGATTTTCATCTCTTGAATCTTAAACCCTGTGACAAAATTAATTCGATATGTAAGCTATACGCAATGTTCACGCCACGTCAAATTAAACGCCATTTTGACAGCCCGTATCGYAGCATCATGCGTCACATACTGGAAATTAATATAAATATTTATGATACTTTTATTTGCAAGTTTAAAATTTAACTGAAACTTTTCAAGTTTTTCCAAATAGCTAGTGACCGGTTTAGGCTGAGGCTTGATACATACACACATATCACTCTCGATGGGTACACGGAAGGGTTATTTGAGTGTTTGGCTGTTGAAATCCGAGTTGAATGGTTATTATAATTTGAAGCACCTAGAGGAAAACTGTCTGTCTTCGTTGATTGTGGTTTTGATTGTTCTTCGGTTGCGTGGATTATTTACATACTATCTATCAACCACAGTAACCCAAAGGGTTATCACACTTGTCAGAAATAATTAGATGATGGAAATGGGCACTTTGTATCAGTCAACCACACACTATTTGCTGATTAATTATCGTCACTGTTATGATGACACTATACTATTGTTCTCTGTGAAACCTTCTGCATATATGTAAATAGCAGCCCAATTCGAAGATTGTGCTTTAATTGTGTTTGACAAGAAGGAGAAACAGAAGTGATAAACAAATTTAAGGGAGATAATGACTTGTATAATGAGCTTTTTGGTGTGTCGTTAACGTTAATTCTATTCTGAGAGATTTACGACTCTACGGTTGACTAGGTATTATTTGGAGAAAAAAAATATCAAATTTGCCTGCCTGACTCGAGTTGCAACATCAGTCACGTAAATATACAGGCGTCAAGCCGTCTGGGGCCCAAGGTCAAATCCTACAACCGAACTAAATCTATCGTGTCTAAAACTAAGCACAACTGAATCTAATTCTAAATGTTTGATATTGGTTACCAGTTGAAAGATTTATTTTATTTATTTCAAAATATTAATGCAAATATTGCTTGAAACTTCGTTTCAGCTGTGGAAATTTTCAAGAACAGCTGACATATGCGATCGAGACAAGTGAATGAATAGGAGCAATAATAAGATGCAATGTATATCACGTTACAGCCAATTACTTTCAAGAATAGATTTGGGACTAATCGTCAATCATCTCAAGTGTCTGGTGAAACCTTCAGGGGTAAAAAAAATAAGCGTTTTTGAAACACGTGTCAGCTGTTTGATTTTTGTGTTTATTTTTCTAGAAATTAACACCATTACTGGAAACAAATGTATGACAATATAAATAACGTGTTAATTTGTATATTTTTTTTTTTGGTGGGTTTTGCATGTAAAAAAATAAACAAGTGTAATCGACTTTCAATATTTATATTTATTTCAAATCAACTATATAAAAGTGAAAAAGTTACAAGTGAAAGACCATCGGGAGTAGATGTGAGTATGGCATATAATAGACTGGCTGCAAAAATTCGCGGCAACATATACTCTTTCCATACTTCACAAAAAAATATAATATTATATAGATATATGTTTATAAACATGTATAAAACTTATGACATTTATTTGAAATAAAAAATATAATACATAAGCAATTCTAACTGAATTGGTTTATTGGTCTGCCGAGGGCTTTTAATATCACACAAGGGCCTCGGTGGCCGGCTTGGTCCAGCTCAGATCAGGTAATTTACAAGGCGAACATAATACACAATACAATTAAGAACATATGGCATTATCAGTTCATAAAAAAACAACTAAACAATAACATACTAATCCTAAAAATTTACGAAATTAATAATAAGAAACCTAGTCAACACTTAAATAAACTACTATACTGACTAGGGAGTAATAACTACGAACAAAAACATTTTGACAAAAATGTATTCGGAGATCAATTAACAGGATTGAAGTGCTATAAAGCACAAAATTGCCTCTTCGGCAAATCACAGAGACGCTTTGAAGAGCCATCTACAGCGCGCAACTTACTAGATCTACTTACTACTAAGCTAAACTAGTTACAATTGCTTTAAATTCATTTAAAAATATCAGTATTTATGTATGTATGTACATGAACTCCTATATAATATATATATGTAAAAAAGTAAAAAAAGCTGTAGCTGGCCGGTGTTGAAGAATAGCCGGCCTCCGCGAATATTTACAATTCAGGTGCGGGCTGATCGGCACTTTGGATCGGCACGTGTCCACCTTTCGCCGCACCGGGCTATTCTAACTACGGAGATCATTTGAAAACCTTAGGGCAGCCGACTGCACCAGAACCAGAACCAGAACCAGACCTTTGACCAGACTGCTGCAGTGCTGCACCACACTTAACTTACTACACAGTACAGTCAGACTCATGGTAGCGAAAGCGAACAAAGGGACGACGTCCCGCCCATCTGCTTAGCTCAGGCCTTTTGGCACCATTCAATCTTTGGCTATACTGAATCCAACTTTAGAATCTTTATGTTTATGTACACATTAATTTACAAATTATTATTCTCTTCTCAAATCAAATACCATATAAAAAATTCCTGAGAGTACGCTTTCGATTCGTACTAAATGAGATCAATTCTTTGATTTGTTTTGCTCCTCTTTGGACAACACACATAACACAGGCAGTGCGCAAATGACCTACGTATATCTCCTAATCTACATAGAATAACTAATTTGGAACAGGTGCAGTCCCACCACACATATCAATGGTACTGCCTTCCAAAACGTCCTTACTCGGGGCACCAAACGCGATAACAAACTCTCTTCGACAAATTCTTCTTTTTCTTCGTCTTCTTCTTCCACTCCCTCCTGAAACAAAAAACAAAACATATACAATATTTTACTTTAACAATGACACGAACATTATAATTTATGTTCCAACTATTACTATAAAGGGATATTTCAAGGTCAAGGCATACTAATGACAAT